GTGTGCAAGTGTGTGCAGGTGTGTGCAAGTGTGTGCAAGTGTGTGCAAGTGTGTGCAAGTGTGTGCAAGTGTGTGCAAGTGTGTGCAAGTGTGTGCAAGTGTGTGCAAGTGTGTGCAAGTGTGTGCAAGTGTGTGCAAGTGTGTGCAAGTGTGTGCAAGTGTGTGCAAGTGTGTGTGCAAGTGTGTGCAAGTGTGTGCAAGTGTGTGCAAGTGTGTGCAAGTGTGTGCAAGTGTGTGCAAGTGTGTGCAAGTGTGTGCAAGTGTGTGCAAGTGTGTGCAAGTGTGTGCAAGTGTGTGCAAGTGTGTGTGTGTGTGTGTGGTGTGTGGGTTGGTGTTGAATGTTTTCAAGAGTGCTCGCAACAGACCCACTATCTTGTAGGTGCCCAGAACCCACACAATTGTTTTGGCAATTGTTTTAAGTGTTGCAATTGTTTTGGCAATTGTTTTGGCAATTGTTTTAATTGTTGCAATTGTTTTGGCAATTGTTTTGGCAATTGTTTTGAAATATTCGGAAATATTAGCAAAATATCCAACAATTGTTTTCAATTGTTTCCAAAACAGTAAGAATATATCTAACAATTGTTTTGCATTGTTTCCGAAGTACGAGAAAATGTCGAACACTTGTTTGGAACGGTTTCAGGAATATGCGAAAATCTGGAATAGTTGTTTCACATTGTTCAGAAATCATTTCAAGGGAATCGAAATAATGAAACAACCTAAAGCTGGAGCTTGAAACAGAACCTTTCAAATCATATGCTTATGTGTTCGATGACTTGCTGTGTATGCGTAGTTGGTTGTTTGACCACACGCGGCTTCAAAACACTGCAAATGTGCAGGACAGTGCAAGGCAGTAAACAGCAGGCTGCACGGCTTGGTCTTTTTCCTCGCGGCACAAAGACTGTCACAACGAGTCGCAAGTCACAGCCTAAAGGCCTAAAGTCTGCCAACAAGGCCGGCTCGCAACTTGGCCAAAGGCCCTGGCTAAACACAACGGTGCAAAGCCAGCACGGCCACAGGCCACATGCCCAGCACGGGCTTGCGGCTTGAAAACGTCAGCTGAACAGGGCCAAGGCTTGCAAGGTCTGCTCAGTGTCTTTCCCAGTGACCTCAGAACGCTCTTCACGGAACTCGACTGCGCACAAAGCAGCTTGCGCAATGGCCAGCACAACCGGAAGTGTCATCGCGTTGCCAGCGATGTCCATCATGAGGCTTTCTGTCAGCCACTGCTTTTCCGTCTGCTTCTGCTTTCGTTTCTTGACTGGCGGCTGCCCAAACAGTGAGGGCTCTGGCAAAGGCTCTTTATTGCGATCGAAGCCAGTTTCCTCCATTTTCAGGAGAAACGGAACCTTGGATGGATTGGTGTTGAAACCGGAGTCCTAAAGGCCTAAACGTCAAGGTTCAGGAGCTTAAGTCTAAGGTTTCAGGCTTTAAGACTTTAAGTTGCAAAGTTTTAGGTTTAGGCTTTAGAACTTCGACTTGAGACTTGAGTCACTTACGTCTTTAGTTTAAGTCTTACGTGGCAACCAGAAGAAAGCCAAAGCCAAGGCCAAGGAACAACAGGAAAACCCTGCATTATGAGGGCCTCCTGCCCCAATAACAGCCTAGGCGGCCTTGCAATCTCCACAAACAAGATCTGCGTCGGAAGCATCGTAGGAGCGACGTGCTTTTGGGTCTCTTCGATCCAGCTCTGGCTAGTAACAACGCGACCTACCGACTGGCTGACGTTCCTGAACCCCGCCGAAGGCGTTTGAGACCTCGACAGCACGAGTGCATCTTTCTCGCGATCCGACAAGGTCAAGAACCATTCATTTATGTCCAGATCTTTTTCAAGTGGTGCTCCCCAGCGCATGTTATTCTTGTCCGAGTACTTGAGGTGCTGCTCAACCCAAGACGACTGTCCTGACCCGCCCCCAGGGCTTGGCTTGGCCTTGGACTTCGCCTTAGCCTGAGCCTGCGACCGTTCAGCAGTTTGAGCCGCTTTGGCTTTTGCCGCAGCCTTCTCTTCACGCTCTAAAGCCCGAGCCTTCCTGGTTTGCATTTCAGACAAACCTGCCAAAACGGCTTCAGACCTGGAGTCAAGAAGAACTTCGCTAGCGCACGGGGCCGACCTCACACATGAAGCTGTCCTGGGTTATGGTTGGGATAGCATGAAAACTGCAAGTTAGTCCCTACTATGTTTACTCAGCCGTGAACAATACAAAATGTTACCCAGCCACGACGAAGGTCATGCTCCGCAGCATCGACACGACATCAGCCATCTTGCGCTCGTGAAAGTCGAACTTGTGGAAAACCCGCTTGATGAAGCACACGTAGATGCGTCGACGCCGTGCTGGGAGACCAAACTGGAAGGCGTCAGTCTGCATCACCTGGCTTTCATAGCCCAGTTCGTTCATGGTCTGCACGATGTGGTCCAAATTCGACTGGGCTGACTGGCCTACATTTTCTTCCAAGCCATCCACGTTTTCAAACCAAATGAATCCTGGTAAGGCCATGGACACGT